TGTTTTGAGTATGATTTCAGGAGTCGCCCTGTCATGGCAGATATTTTGCTTGCTTTTAAGAGGTATCGTTGTTTTCATTATCCTTCAATCATAATTCAGAAAATGTATCCACTAATGACTTGGAAAAGGTAAATTAGCTATGGCTAAATGAGAAAAGATAAATTAAAATTATTTTCCTAGATATGTCTGTACTTTTACATCATGATATCCTTATCACTATTATTATTTTTTTTAATTTGATTTATTCAAATACTTTGCTTTTCACTTTATCACAGTTCGCAGAACGTGGCTGGCCAGGAAGGCGGCTGGACAGGTCTCGGGAGCCGAATGATCCGTGAAAAACCAGGCGGCATCGGCTACACAGAGTGGTTCCTAGCAAAAGATCACCTCCAAGTTGGCGATGTGGTCCGGTCCCGAAAGTCACCAAATTCCCGCAGCCCGAAAAACATGGAAGTCCCCGAGGGCACTGTAGTCGGGCTCGAACGCGACACGGACCAAGATGGGTTCATCCTCGTCAGGGTGCATGGGGTCCACGACCCCATCCGGTCCCACGTGTCCACGCTAGAGCGGGTCACGTTTGGCCTGGCCGCCGGCGACTGGATCCGCCTGAAAAGGGAGGACAAATGCCACTCGCCGGTCGGGATCCTCCACGCTGTGAATCGAGATGGGAGTGTAACAGCCGCATTCATAGGCCTTGATACGCTGTGGAAAGGTGACTACTCGGAGTTCCAGATGGCGAAGCCTTATTGGGCGGGCCAGTTTGTGAGGCTCAAGCCAAGCGTGTTCAGCCCCCGATTCGAGTGGCCTAGGAGAAGAGGCAGTGGGTGGGTGGCTGGGAGAATTTGTCAGGTGCTGCCCAACGGGTGCCTAGTCGTCAATTTTCCAGGCAGGCTGATGATGGGGCGCGGGAGCTTTTTAGCCGACCCTGCTGAGGTGGAGCTCGTGTCCTTCGAGACATGTCAGGGAGTGGTGAGGAAGTACGAGCACTTGGAGGATTTCCACTGGGCCGTGAGGCCACTGCTGATGGCGCTGGGCCTGTTCACTGCAATGAAGTTGGGCTTTTTCGTTGGGAG